AGTTCCCAGCATGCCTTGCCTGGCAGACAGACTCTGGATATGCTGGGATTTGCAGTTTGTCTTGTTGGCTGAGGGGTCACAGATAACAATTCCAGCAGAAGACAATGGGGGAGATTTACTAAAACTGGAGAGTGTGAAATCTGGTGCAGCTGTGTATGGTAGCCAATCGGCTTCTAACTGTAGCTTGTTTAACCACTTGCCCTCCAGAGGATTTATCCTGGGTTCACATATATGCGGTGCGGTATATCGCATGTGATTTGCACAGGAACCGCACCGCATTCCTGTGAAAATCGCATGTGATTTGTGTGCGGTGTGACTATTACCATACATTTTGTATGACTAATTGCACCCTCACCAAAAAGGTACAGGACCCTTTTTTTGGTCCGCGCTAGAATCGGATCGCATGGGTATTCACACCTATGCGATCCGATTCTGCACAGCGCACCGCATTTTGAGGAACGCTTTTGGGATGTTGTGAACACAAACACCCACAGCAGTTCGCATGAACGGGGCGCCATTGTGATGCGGTGCAGAATTCGCACAGAAAACGCTGCAAATTCCGCACCACATCAGTGTGAACCAGGGCTTACCCCCCCCCGACCAGGCCATTGTTTGCGTTATGGCACTGTGTTATTTTAAGTGACAATTGCACGGTCATGCAACGCTGTACATACATGACATTTCTGTCCTTTTTCCCCACAAATAGAGCTTTCTTTTGGTGGTATTTGATCACCTGTGCGATTTTTAACTTTATTTATTTCAGGTACTTATATAGCGCCGTCAATTTACACAGCGCTTTACATATATATAGTACATTCACATCAGTCCTCAACCCTAAAGGGGTGTACAATCTAAGGTCCCTAACTCACATTCATACATACAAATACTAGGGGACAGGATCCCATTCACCTACCAGCATGTCTTTGGAGTGTGGGAGGAAACCGGAGTACCCGGAGGAAACCCACGCAGGCACAGGGAGAACATGCAAACTTCAAGCAGGTGGTGCCGTGGCTGGGATTTTTACCAACGACCCTAGTACTGCCAGGCGGAAGTGCTAACCATTTAGCCACTGTGCTGCCCACTTTTTGCGCTATAAATAAAAAAAGACCGACAATTTTGAAAAAAAATTAAATATATTTTTGACTTTTTGCTATAAAACATGTCCAATTAAAAAAAAATAAAAATAAAATTTCATCATAAATTTAGTCCAAAATGTATTCTGCTACATGTCTGCGAGGAAAAAAAAACAATACATGTAAATTAATTGGTTTACGTGACAGTTATAGCATCTACAAATGGCAACGAATATATACTGGAACTTTATATATATATATATATATATATATATATATATATATATATATATATATATATATATATATATATTATATATATATATATGGTTTCCTTGTGTGAACGAGCCCAGGGGGTCATCCTACATGGTACAATCCGACTATAAAATCTTTGTACAATCAACTTTCGATTATCAAAACTGTAATATGAGGACCTACCTAACCTATACAATCGGGGAGGCCTTTGCAGTACATAGTTGTAAATAGATCTAAAGGAGATCGTACAATCAGATTGTAATGTGTGTGGCCTTATTGGCCCCCCTAAGTCTTCTGGTTCAAAGGCAATGCAGTGCGTTAAAGCAGAACTTCACTCTGTTGAACATTGACTATTTTTAATCCTTATGCTGCTAGCATTAGTAAATAGACTTGAAAGTATATAATATTGACATGTTTTAGGGCCAGTTCACACCATAGAAATGCAGTCTGGATGTGTTTCTGCATGTGCGTATTTGACGAGTTCCAGTGCGTTTTTGATCGTGTTCCATTACAGTTCTGTGCAGGAAAAATGCAGCTTGCTACTTCCTTTTTTTTTTTTTTTCTGCAACCGGAATGCACTGGAACTGCAAGCACCGGTGTGAAACATGCCATTGATAATTATGTAACCTACTTTCAGTGCATTTTGGATACAGAAAAAAATGCACTGGAACACATGTACCATGAACCAGCCCTTAAACTTTTTTTTTTTTTTCTTTTTTATGCATTTCTTCAGTTACTTCCTGGTTTTTGGCCTAGGTAAATGGCATACATCCCAGGAGTCTCCAGGAGGGACTTTCGCAGCTAAGCACACCCTCATGCCTGAGTGAAGGGCAGATGAATTCCAGGAAGTAAATGCTGCATGAATCGTCTGCCCTTACTCAGGATGGCCTGAAATGCTGGGGGGTACCTGTCAAAACCAGATACCTCTCTCCCCCCCAAAAAATTAAAATTTCAAATATGGTAGAGAAGGTGATGGGGGGGGGGGGGGGAAGAGTGGAACATCCATTAAGGTGCATTGAGGCAAAAAACTTCTACTAGTTGTTCCCCTCCCTCAAGACTTACTGAGTCCTGTATCGATACAGCTCTGTGTCCATCTGTAGCAGCACGGGTTCTCTCTCTCTCCCCTCTCACAGGCTCATACAGCAGTGAGAGCCATTGACTCCTGCTGCTGTCAGTCAAATGCTTTGGAGAGGGGACGGGGCCCAGCCTTGCTATGTGTGTCTATGGACGCTTCCAGCCTAGCTCGGGAGTGAGCCTGCTGGTGCGCCCCCATAGGAAGCCTCTTCCTGCGGGGGTCGAACAGAGAAGAGACCACTTTGTGAGGAATGCTTGAAAAGAAGTTTTGGGGGTCACTTTTATGCAATACCATTGCATAAAGCAGGAAAGTATAACATGTCTGTTATTTAAAAAAAAAAAATAAAAATAAAAAAAATGGGCCTTTACAAAAAAATAAATACTGAAGTGTCATCCATGCCGAACCCCTAACCTTTCACTGCCTGCCACATTATTGACACCCTGCTCTTTGACGATCCAGCTGTTGGTTGCAGGACGCAGATGACGGTTTTGTAAAGCGCTTAACAAACTGTTGGCACTGTACAGTTGTGCTCAAAAGTTTGCATCTTTTTATGTTCTTTTCCATCTTTATAAAGTTCCATTACCTTGTTACGCAGGACTTTTGGCAGTTCTTTTCTGATCCCCAGTATCCCCTCAGTATCTAGCCTAGTCAGTGCTTCCACATAAAAGCTAACAAACTCATTGACTATTTATACACTGACACTAATTAGCAATTTAGCCTCTAATTGGCATTTTAAACCCGTGTGTGTCACCTTGTGAGTCTGTACCAAGACCAAACATTCCAGGGGAGGGAAAATTCTGATCCAGGCCATTTGGGTTGTTTCTGTTATTTTGATTTAAAAAGGAGCCAAATAACTATTTGATAATAAATGGCTTCATATGATCGTCATCCTTCAATAAAAGAGCATTTTTTGGCATGATCAGTCAGATTTTCAATAGCAATGCCAAAATTTCACAATTTCTGCCAGGGGATGCAAACTTTTGAGCACAACTGTATAAATCCTGTATAATAAAAATCACGAGACGGACTGGAATACAGCAACACTTGATCGGCAGACAGAAATGAAGCCAGGACACAAACCAAAAGGACATCAACACATAGCAGCGTGGTGCAGGAACATCAGGCAGAGTAAGGATCCAAGCTGGTATAGGTCCCCCAGCGGGACAGTGAGGTGCATGAAACATCAAGCAGAGTCATGATACAAGCTGGGATTGGTCCCCAGTGGGACAGTGAAGTCTAGGAACATCAAGCAGAACCATGATACAAGCTGGGACAGGTCCCCAGTGGGACAGTGAGGTCTAGGAACATAAAGCAGAATCATGATACAAGCTGGATAGGTCCCCAGCAGGACAGCGAAGTGCAGGAACATCAAGCAGTCATGATACAAGCTGGGATAGGTCCCCAGTGGGACAGTGAAGTCTAGGAACATCAAGCAGAATCATGATACAAGCTGGGACAGGTCCCCAGTGGGACAGTGAGGTCTAGGAACATAAAGCAGAATCATGATACAAGCTGGATAGGTCCCCAGCAGGACAGCGAAGTGCAGGAACATCAAGCAGTCATGATACAAGCTGGGATAGGTCCCCAGTGGGACAGTGAGGTGCAGGTTAATATGTTTGCTCATATGTGCCAAAGCCTGGCTTGCAGTGAGCCTTTTCTGAAAAATTATGAGCATGTAGTTGTCTTCTAGTTCCAATACTGCTGGGCTTTTCTTACATAGTTTGTTTACTCTTTAAAAAAAGTTACAATGATGATTCACTATGATACTTAAAAATGTAAATAAGTTCCCTGTAATTCACTTTCTGTCTTTGCTGCTTCCTTTAAGGTATAAGGATTTACATGATTTTGAACTTCAAGATCCAACCAGAGTCATTGAATGGATTGGAGAGAAAAGTATGTGAATCGTCATATTTGCTCTTTGTACATGGTAAACTATTGTGTTACTTAATGCAGACGTAGACTTTGTTATACACCTGACCCACCTCTTTTCATTCCGGTTTAGTTAGAACCCTGTCGGATGTTTTATTGCTATGTGTGCCTCCTATGTGATAGAATTGTGTAGCGACAGGTTCTCTTTAAGGAGACCTCAGCGGTCTTAGACCCCTGATGTTTCCTCTGCACTGTGCTTAGGAAGATCAGGGATAAACAGGCCCAAATCTGCTTTTCTCCTAGGCTACAGTCAATGGAGATCTGACAGCAGTAAACCCAGAAGTGCTCAGTACTGATCACTTCCAGGTTCACTGAAGAGAAGGCTGTGTTTTCATCGTTCCCAGGCTTTCAGGACAAATCCCAGGGGGATGGTGGGGTCCATCTTCTCAGGTCTGTAGAAGCAAGTGAGCAGTTCTACAGCCACTTTGATGCCTATCCTATTATATTACATTACCTGTAGATTAATGTTAAACCACGTTTACAGATGCAGTGTTTATTTTAACCACCTCCCACAAGGTGGTTCTCTCGTTCTCATATGACATCCTCCCATTCTCACTGCGCATGCACGGCTCGGGGAGCGCACGGTGATCGCCGGTGCTCTGTGTCCCTCGGACACAGCGGATCACCGATCAGGGAAAGAGCCGAAGATGTCGGCTCGGTCATGTGATTAGCTGTGTCCAATCACAGCTGATCACATGTAAACAGGGAAATGCCGGTTATCGGCATTTCTGTCCTCTCGAGCTGTCACTCTGACAGAGGAGAGGAGAGCCAGCAATCAGCTTCCCGCAGAGGGGACATGTACACTGATCATCAGGGCACTTATGATCAGTGTAGCCCCAGCAGTTCCACCTGTCAGTGCCTTGTGTCAGTGCTCATCTGTGCCTACCAGTGCACATCAATGCCACATATCAGTGCCCATCTGAGCTGCCAGTCAGTGCCGCCCATCAGTGCTGCCTTTCAGTGCCCATCAGTGATGCCTGTCAATGCCCATCAGTGCCACCTACCAGTGCCTCCTCATCAGTGCCCATCACTGCCACCTATCAGTGCAGCCTATCAGTGTCCATTAGAGCAGCCTCATTAGCGCACATCAGTGAAGGAGAAAAAATGCTTATTTACAAACTTTTATAACAAAAACTAAGAAAAAACATTTTTTTTTTTCAAAATTTTCAGTGGTTTTTGGTTTGTTTAAGAAAAAATAAAAAACCCAGAGGTGATTAAATACCACCAAAATAAAGCTCTATCTGTCACAAAAAAAAATGATAAAAATTTCATATGGGTACAATGTTGTATGACTGCACAATTTTCATTCAAAGTGCAACAGCGCTGAAAGCTGGAAATTGCCCTGGTCAGGAAGGGGGTATAAGTGCCCTGTAGGCAAGTGGGTAATCTATAGACTTCCATGACTTGTCTCTGCCAGTAAAAACTGAGGACCCATTCACACTGTTGTGGCAATGCATTCTAAATTGCACGCATTACCACAACACATGGCAATGCACCTGCTCTATGTGCAGTACAATGCATTATGAATGGTCCCCCAGCATGCATTATACAGTTGAATGCAATGTACAACGCACACCGTGCATTGTGGTGTACTAAGTTTTGAAGAAAGGTTGTACACCTTTTTTTTTTTTTTTTTCCCCATATCTTGTGGTGTGTTGGCAGCTCACTCAAAATGAATGCTACAATATGTGGTAACACCCCAAAACTGATCGCTTTGGTGTGAATAGGTCCTTAACCACTTGCCCTCCTTCCTGACCAGGCCATTTCTTGCATTACGGCACTACGTTGCTAATTGCTTGGGCATGCAACACTGCACCCAAATGAAGTCCCCCCCCCCCCCCCCCCCCCCCCCCCCCCCCACAAATGGAGCTTTCTTTCGGTGGTATTTGATCGCCTGTACATTTTTTTTATTTTTTGCAATATATGCAAAAAAGACTGACAATTTTGAACAGAAAAAAAACCCAGTATTTTTGACTTTTTGCTATTAAACCAGTCCAGTAAAAAAAAAAAATGAAATCAAACTTTGTCATAAATTTAGGCCAAAATGTATTCTGCAACATATCTTTTGCTAAAAAAAAAAAAAAATCCCAATACGTGTAAATGAATTGGTTTACGTGAAAGTTTTAGCGTTTACAAATGGCGGTATAAATACTGGGAATTTTTTTTTTTCTACTAGTAATGTCAGCGATCAGCGACTTTTAGCGGGACTGCAGCAGACATTCTGACACTGGCTGGGAACAAACTTGGTGTCACTGACATCCCAGTGACACCAAGTTCAAAAAGCACTGACACTGTACTAATAACACTGGGCAGGAAGGGGTTGATGTGATGGGGCAATCAAAGGGTTAACTATGTGCTGGGAGTATTCTACTAGGGGGCGGGGGGTGTGCTTTTCTGTAAGCACAGCCGTCCTGAGCAGTGTGCTCAAGCTGACAGGGAGGAAGACTGTAAACAAAACAGTCTTCCTCCCCATCGGTGATTGTCGGTAATCACTGGGCGCCTGCGGGTAATTACCGGCTGACACTCGGTGATTGACATCCATGGCTGCGAATGGCGCTGGGGGTAGGGCGAGCGCTCAGCTAGTGTGCGGGCCCCTACCCAGAAATGCGAAATCGCGTATATATAAGTGATTTTGCGCACAGGTGCCACCCTGTAGCAGTGTATCTGCTATAGGGCGGTCCTTAAGCAGTTAATGTGTATGTAAAGGCATTTTTTTTTTTTGGATAGAGTAAGGAAAGATTAGACCCTCTGTCAAGATTTTAAAAAAGAAGTGTGGGTTTTTTTGTTTTTTCAAAATTATACTTACCTAGGTGGATGTAGCATCAGTCCCCCTCCGGCTCTAAATGTGAGAACTCAGCAATTACATGACCGCTGAGTTCTCACCGCCGCTGTGAGCAGAGAGCTCTGGGCTGTGGAGGGGAAGAGAGCAGAACACTTGAGCCAGGTGCCTCTCTAGACACTGGGGTGGATCCCGTCTTTAAAGTCAGGATCCTTCCCCAGCCTGGACCAGTTGAGTGACATCAGGCGGCAACGAACTGCACTCCTGTGATTCATACAGCTAAAAGATCTTTGGCTGTACTTCTCCTTTAATTGCATGTGTCCCTGATGGGAAGGTTCATCCTTACATTTGCCCTGGAGATTGTCCACAAGACAAAATATAATATCAGAAAATCAAATATTTTGGAGTTTCCAAGAGAGGAAACCTTGAAATAGGGGCAAATGTTCCGGTGACAACTGTCGAAGATGAAAACTCCCTTGTTGGGGATTTCCTTTCCTTCTTGTTGTGACTCCAAGACAGGATGTTCAGGGAAATCTTCCCAGCAGGACGCAGACCAGAGTTTTATGTCCTTTCCTGCAATAAAGCAAAAAGGTTTGACTATATACACTCTAACTTCCATTTGCTGTTTTGGGCATGTTCTTATTCTATACTGCATACTATTATTTATTATTGCTATTATACAGGATTTATACAGTGCCAACTGTTTGTGCAGTACTCAACAAAATAAAGTACAGTTACAATACAATTTGATACAAGAGGGTTCACCAGAGGACCGTGCTTGTGAAGACTTACAATCAAAAATCCAAAAACCACAATTTGGGTACATCACAGCATTTGTGGAATCATTCCTAAGTGATTATGTTCTCGTTTACATTTGCAGGTATTTGTGTAGCCGGCTACGATGGCACTAAAACAAATGAAATCCTACAGCTGCTTGTTCCGCAAAAATTGCAAGTAAAGGAAAACCAGGTAACTTGCAAATTTTCATTATTAACAGCACCATGGCGTTGTGGAGTCTCCGCTTCACTTCCCAGCGAGGACATTTGTTCATTCTCCCTGTGTCTGTATGGATTTCCTGCCTCTTTCTACACTTCGAGAACCAGTCATGTCAGGGCTTCTGAAGTCCAAACGTTTAGTCTGATATTCTAATTCTGCATTAAACCTGCATTTCTAATTACTCTTTGTAACGGAACCAGACCCTGACTGCACTAGGGTATTTCCGTTAGACTCCCGCTTCTCTGTCCGATCACAGATCCACGGACACCACCGCTAACCATACAAGACGAGACCGCACCAGACTTGTCTTAAAACAGGAAATTGACTGCTTTATTTTAACACACACAAGATATATACGCAGGGCGGGGCAATACATTTCTAACAAGAGACACACAGCAGACACCCCCACCAAGTCAATACACAAACACCTACATCCCATTTGCTCCCAAGCCAGACACACAATAGAACAATGGGACAACTACATGGCATTAAACAATGAACAACCCCCACACCCCACCTATACATGTGTACTCAATAGCAGGACATTTCACCCTCTACCACTAACAGGCACAGGGTGACTTACACATAATAGGGATATGGGGAGCTGAGACAGAGGTCTCCCCACCTCTCCAAAGTGAGCTGTGTTTCATGGGCCCCCCACCCAAAGTGACTCCCGTCACACCCTTCTTATTTAGCTTTACATGATTTGGATGAGGGGGGCTCTTGATGCTAAGGGTTGGAAGTGAATGGTCTCCTGGGGCCTGGCAGTTGCTGGTCTTTCAGCTGCCTGAACCCAAACCTTTACTACATGTGGTCTTCCAGCTCCTAAGTATCTCTAACGGTATCAAGCACAGTCCTGTAGTGTTTTACAATGCCTTTAATATTGATATATGAGCAAAAACTTTTTGGGGGGGTATTAGCTAGGTACCAATAAGGAACCTCCAATGATGTGTGCCCCACTGGTGACTTCTGAAGTTCTGGTGGTGAAATGGTCAGGGCTAGAGTACATTGATCACTGTGGGTCATCCCCTGTGTAGCTCCTTCATTGAGAACACATGTACTATTCTCTGGACTAGGGGAGATCGTGACGTTCATATGCCCCTTGTTCAATCAGAAATTTTCAAGGCGGTGACAGGATCTCTTTAAGCAGCCAGGAAGGTAGTGTTTTGTTTTTTTTTTTTTTTTTTTTTTTTTTTTTTTACAAAGATCACATTAATTTTCTGTATATTAAATAAGTATCACCAGAAATTGGTTGTTGGATCCCTCATGGGGATCAAGTGCATATTGCACATGGTTCTATTCTGGTCCATGGCTGCATTGTGCAATAAAAGAAGATCTTTATGTCTGTCTGTGTGGTCAGCTGCACCCCAGACTGAAGCCCAATTTATGGGCTTTTCTATGGGGAACTACAGCACAGCACTGTAGTCACAGCCCCCCATCATTCTCAGATACTGTGTATCTGTTTTGTGTGTCCTATCCCTTCTGCCAGCTATTAGCCAGACATGAAAGAGAGGGGGGTTGGGGTGACACTGTAAAATGGGCATGGATATAGAGAAGATGGGGTGGAGAGAAATGGTGCTGACGAAAAAACAAGATAGAAGCCCATAACTTAGTGTTTACTGAACATTCTCAATAATACTCATAGCTTTGTATACCTCCAGCCAGTCCTAGTTTAGCCTGAGCAGTGCTGATATTGTAGCCATAGGGCAGTTCCTTTATAAGTTACCGCATGCAAAGCAGAGGGATTGGAGAGGGAGAGCATGACCAGATGTGAGTGAAGTATGTGTCTGTCAGGAACGTTTCAGAGTTGTTGGAAGGTGGAGGAGAGGACGGCAAGTGGAGATGGAGAGCTGGCGATATTACCCTGAAGTTGGGGGCAAAAGTGGGGCTGACTAGGGGTGCAAGTTAGGCTAGGTAAATTTTAGTTTTTGGAGCTCTCCTGTAATCAGTGGAGCAACTTGTGATTATTTTGGGCTGTTCTGTGTCTCACTGGTTGCAGATTTGACTGCTTCCACCTTCCTTCTGGAATGTAGTGGGCTGGGGGAGTTGGATAAGCAGCTTCAATATTTATGTGGTCCCAGCCAAATCCCTGGGGGTGTGTGACCAGTATGTGGCTAGGGAATGCATAAATAGTCTGAGTCTTGGAACAGCAGAGGTCTTATCCAGGAGGCTGCTGCCCTTTTGGGCAGTCCAGCTTTACT